ATGTCAATGATATTTTTTTTCAATTTTTTTTTTTTTAGATGTTAATGATAAAAAATGATTTTTTTTTTCAATTTTTTTTTTTTAGATGTTAATGATAAAGTTGCCTATCTGAACTTGGCAGGATACAGGGCAGGTGAAGTAGAGTTCATCTGTTTCTTTGTCCTAACCATATGAAAGGATAGTGTGGTCAGAGACATGCTCGGCTGGAATCGTTTTTTAAACGATAAAAACATGTTGTCTGAGACTTGGCGGGACACTGGGCAGGTGAAGTAGAGTTGAGTAGGTCACATGTGACGTCAGTATATGAAGGGATAGTCCGAAATCGGTGTTTTCGGTGTTTTTAAAAGATAAGAAACATATTTTTGAATGTGGGCTCTGTTTTTGTGACGATAAGTGACACTGCAGTAGCGTAGCGAGGAGGGGGGGGGGCGGGTGGGGAGGCGGGGGGGGGGGGGAAAGGGGAGGCGGGGGGGGGGAAGGGGAGGCGGGGGGGGGGAGGGGAGGGGGGGGCGGGGGGACGTATGTTGGGGCGCCAAAATGGTTTGGAAAAATAAATTGAAAGGTTGAGGGGGGTTCAAATCGAAAGTTTGAGTGGGGGGGGGGGGGAGGGGGTGCACATCAAAAGTTTGAGGGGGGGGGGTTGAAAATCGAAATCTTGGGGGGGGGGGTTAAAATCGAAAAGTTTGTCCCCGGGCGCCGGGAAGGCTCGCTATGCCTCTGAGTGACAGACGTGATGTTTTTTGATGGATGACCCCCGAAACCCACAGTTATCCAAGGGATGACGGGTATTCTAGTATACTATTAAGGATTACATCTTTGAAATAATTTTTTTTCGATGTTTCCAATGTCACATAAACTTGTTATAAATATTTTTCCAGATATTCTATATCAACAAATACTCTATGTTGATATGCACGTTTGATCTTTATCCTAAGGTGTTACGAATTATATAACTTTGTATCCTTTGTATTATTACTCTCGTTCAGAGGCGTAGCGAGGGGGGGGGGGGGTGGTGCGGACCGCACCGGGTGACACCATTTAGGGGGGTGACACCAAGGCAAAAAATAGCAAAATATATGGAGAAAAACTTGAGGGGGGGTGCAAATCGAAAGTTTGAGGGGGGGCGGGGGCGGGTGCAAATCAAAAGTTTGAGGGGGGAGGGGGTGCACATCGAAAGTTTGAGGGGGTGGGGGGTGCAAAGCGAAAATTTGAAAGTTTGTCCCCGGGAATGGTCGCAACGCCTCTGGGGGTGACACCATTAAGTGCCGCACCGGTTGACACCCGACCTTGCTACGCCACTGCTCTCGTCTATGTACACGTTTTTACAATTTTAAACATTTTTGAAGCACCAAATAGTTAAACCAACTAGACTTATAACTTGGTTTGTTTGATGGTGTAAATCTTTAAAACCTCAATTATTTACATTATTCAATTTTTGCTTATTGATTGTGATGTCTATTTTGTTTCAGATAAATTAAAAAAAAAGATATTTGCATTTAATTCATAAATCTCGATCTTAGTGTAAAAGTAAAAATCTAGGCATTTAAATATTTTAAGCGATTTGACCAAATCGTGCCATTGATATTAAGAATGGGGGTAAAATATCTTTGTAACAGTAACTTTGCAAAGATAATTTCTTAATTCACCAAACATCCTTTGCTGTTAGTCATTAGCACATTTTTTATTTTAAATTTAAATACAAATTTGAAGTAGGCCTATACAACACAACTATTTTTTACTGTAATTTTGAAAACCATATTTCATTAGCACATTTTTTTATTTTAAATTTAAATACAAATTTGAAGTAGGCCTATACAACACAACTATTTTTTTTACTGTAATTTTGAAAACCATATGTAGAAAATTTATTGTTTCGTGTATCGATGTTTTCAATAAAATTCGTGTTTTTAAATTCATGCTTATTTGTTACATTTTCGTCTTTCTAGGTTTCAAGCTATTACATCAGCAAAACAAGACACAAGAGCTTAAGAAAACATGTAATCTAAAGCGCATAACGATTATATAGATTCTGTTATCAGATACAAAGACACTAAGTAACATCGGCTAAATAAAAACAACAAGAATTTATAAACATGACAAGTGCGGTTACTCGACACGACAATTAGCTTAAAATACAAGCTGAAATGTATCATCCTGGTCGTCAAACGAAGACAAGAAAATTCATAAAAAACGTTTTAATAACCAGCTTTTATATCTGACGACAGACAGAGGAACCAAGTTAAATAAAAGTTTGTGAAAACAAGCTGAAAATACATTGGTTTTGCTTTAAGTTCTGTCGTGTTCTTATTTTAATCTTAAGTCGGTAGACAAACCAAAAATCGATGTCTAAAGTTAATGTGTAAAAAAAAAGTATAAAAACCTTTGTAATAACATATATGTAATGCGCTAAAAATAAATAAAATAAACATGTTATATAATAATAAAAATTAAAGAGTTTGTCGTTTTCATCTTTATTATTATAAAAAATTCCCCTTTTCGAACCTGACGGTCCATGCGACAAGTAAGGTAGAGATTTACCTATTTCTGTGACCTCACCATATGAAGGGATGGTGTGGTCAGTACACTCCTCAGTCACCTCTAGTTTTTCTTAACGTGAGTTAGGTACCCATCAGAGCTGGGCGGACTCTGGGACATTGTACTGACTTGAACCCGGATTGAATCCGCTAAGCCACGCCTACCCATGTATTATTATAGTTTAAGACAGTTAATGTTTGTTTAACGAACTATCGCTGTTGTTAGTATGTCCTGATTTCAGCCTGCCTTTCATCTACTCATATAACTTCACAATATCTAAATACAGAAAGTAGAAACAAAGTATGAAACGGCTTAATAAGAACAACGTTTTAAATGCACCAACAATAATAAAAATAAAAATAATAATATATCTGTTATTATTAATACAGTAAATGCTGTGGTTCCAAACACGCTTTAAACATGCTTGACCTCGGCATATGAAGAGATAGTGTGGTCAGCACTACTTCCAGCAATTTTTACCTTCCCTTATATAAGTTTAAGTAACCCACCAGAGCTGGGTGGACTAAGAGACGCCCTGCAGCCACGCCTACCGACCGAGATCCGAACTCGAGGCAATCGGGTTAGCAGTTGTGCACTCTAAAACCCGACCACCATTTAACCGTTTTTTCCTCCGATTCCATAGAAATAGCAATACAGGTTGAAAAATTCAGGCATTTCAAAGTTTTTATGTTAGGGTCAAATAAAAAAAATGCGGAAATATAAACTATATGAGAAGTAAAAGTATAGAAAACTTAATTCTACTTATGTTTACTTTAGAAAAACGTGGGGGTTGGTTCATATTGTTTTCATAAATACAGAGGCTAAAAACTTTAAAAGTTTACATTGAAGCGTCTGGTCGTTACCCTATTTGTTGCCAGCAACTAAACCGGGTAATATCGCTTCCCAAGATTTCGATTTGCACCCCCCCGTCAGGTTTTTCTCTATATATTTTGCTATTTTTTGCCTTGGTGTCACCCCCCTAAACGGTGCCACCCAGTGAGGTCCGCACCCCCGCCCCCCGCCCCCCCCCCCCCAACTCGCTACTCCTCTGCCTAGAGCCAGACTGATCTAACTTATATTTTCAACACGTTCACAGAAGGGCATTACTCTTTCTTCCATTATTATATTTGTTTTAAGTTAGGCACATGGAAAAATTAAATTGTTGCCTTGATGCCTTTGTGGATTTAGAACACAATCGTGTATAGATATCTAAAAAGCCGAAAAATAGAGTTAGATAAGTCTGTTTGTAGGGAAGCGATATATATATATATATATATATATATATATATATATATATATATATAAATATATATATATATATATTTTTTTATATAAAACAACCATATTTGGATATATTAAATACTAATATACACTAAAGGCGATTTGTAGGATTACTGTATAAAAACAGGCCTATATAGTGGCCATATACACAGCAGGCCACCATGAGAGAAGTGATATATAAAAATATAAGAATTAGAAAGTCTGTAAGTTATTGTTTAGAAACAGTGGGTCTTACATCAACTTTAAATTTGGAAGAATGTGTATTTACATTACAACTTTGGTCATTAAAAAAATAAAAAATAAAACTATGGATGATTTGCCATGAGCATCTTTTAAACGCAATATAAGTGAACCACAATTTTAAAAAATTAACATCAACACATACCTTGATAAAACAATTTAAACATTATTTACAAGTGAAATGATTAAACACTAGGTTTATACTTAAATCAATAAATGGATATTTATACATTGATACACATTAAAAAGTAATATGAAATAAAATATATTAAAAAATGTTAGCACGGTATGTGATCTACATAGGACAAATCAAGGGGTAAAATACATAGTTAGACCTTCCTTTCTTAAGAAGTAATAACAAGACTTAAGATGCCATGTGTTAAAAAGTGATGATATATCTTCTTCAGAGGCGTAGCGACCCTTCCCGGCGCCCGAAGACAAACTTTCGATTTGCACCCTCCCCCCTCAAGATCTCAAGATTTCGATTTGCACCCCCCTCAAACTTTCGATTTGCACCCCTCTCCCTCAAGATTTCGATTTGCACTCCCCCTCAAGCTTTCAATTTATGTTTCCAACCCATTTTGGCGCCCCCTAAGGTCGACGCCCGGGGACATATGCCCCCCCCTTCCCCTCTGATTTTCTTTACTTTGATCCCGTTGATTAAGAATCGATTATATGAACTCTCTAATTAGATCCTACTGACCAAGGAGTGGATATATGACTATCACGATACCTGCATATATTATTTACTTGACAGGGAATCGGAACTTCAAGTTCAATATTCGATCTCGCCTTTCAATATAATAGGATTTAGATACACGTTAGTTTTAAAAAAAAAAACAACAGTCCATGCATTTTTTTTGAACACTTATTACAGTAACAAAGTTAGGTTAAATATAATCTATAAAACATACAGACATTTTTGGTTGCAAAATTACGAGTTGTCATCTAGAGAGGGACTTGTAGTTTAAATTTTTTTCCTGTTTTGTTCTCAGAATCGTTTGGCGTTGATTTGAATCTTGCTGCTGCTGTTTGTTTTTAATTCTGGAAGTTAATGAAATACAAATTAACGAGTTAATTACGGTCATTGTGGATTAGGGTCACTTACTGCCAATTTGGATTAGGGTCACTTACTGTCGCTATGGATTAGTGTCATTTGTGATCAAGGTGTATAAGGGTCAGAGGCGTAGCGAGGGGGGGGGGGGGCGGGGGACATATGTCCTCGGGCGCTGATCTTAGGGGGCGGCATAATGGGTTGGAAAAAGAAATTGAAAGTTTGAGGGGGGGGGGGGGGGGGGGGTGTAAATCAAAAGTTCGGGGGGGGGATGCAAATCGAAAGTTCGAGGCGGGGTGCAAATCAAAAATTTGAGGAGGAGGGGGGGGGGGGTGCAAATCGAAAGTTTGTCCCCGGGCGCCGGGAAGGGTCGCTACGCCTCTGATAAGGGTTACGTCATTGTCAACGTGTTTCATAAACAAATATCGACTTACATATCTCCTAGGTGCAGGTACAGGCTTTTTATATCCGTACTGAAAAAAAATTAATTGTCAAAATTAACACATTCACCACTTCAACAAATATAGTTACGTTTAAAAAAATTATCATATGTGCTAAGTTATTCATCTGAAGTAGCCACCATATTTAAATTAGAATGCATCATACAAAAATATACATTACAATGGCAATTATTTGCATTAGGTATAAATAGGACTTAAATAGGCCTAAAACAGAACATAAAATTGGTCTTTGAGTATATTCAGATTCCAACTACCTAGGCCTATGTGACGCTGTTGACTATATATACAATAAATTATAAAAATATATATATATATATTAGTGCAACAGGCATCATTCTATATGGAAAATGAATAATTAAAAAGGGTCTTTGAGTCCACCCAGCTTTTATGTTACCAGGCAGGATTTTGGAATTATTTGACTCGGTGTTCACCAAATGTATCTAAAAAAAACAACTCTATCTTAATTGATACATTAGCTGTCTAGTCAGAATAGTGCGCTTTACTTTATGTATAAAACTTTTACATATTTAAAAATAAAACTGGGTTGAGAAACATCCCGTTTTGTGCACATGCCATCCCGTTTTGTGCACAGGCCATCCCGTTTTGTGCACAGGCGACTCAAGGTGGGGTTTCGCCCTAATAAAAGTCCCCCCCCCCCACTACGTATGTGACCTTTCTAGTTGTATGCAGGACGTAAACTGAGAACCCAACACTTACCATTCTGTTGTCGTCGTCGTAATCCCAGATCTCCGACCCTGCCCTCAGACGTGGAGACATGGCGTTAGGCTGTGGAATAAAAGTTTTCTCGTCATGTATCTTTGTCTGTTCCAAACAAGAGGCGTAGATACGTTGAACGTGTGTATTTTAATAAATGTATCTAGGGCGGCTTATTTTTTTGGGGGGGGGGGGACTTAAATGTTTGTTAGAAACTAAACTCAATATGAATTACTTTAAAAAAAAAAAGCTAAATGGGTGCAACTTGAGTATGTGTATAAACCGTAAATTACATTTTCTTAATTGTATATTTTCAGCTGCTTGCCGATATCAGAAATTTATTTGAATATTTTTCGCTTTAATACACAGACGAATTTAAACACTGCATTTTCGATTGGGAAAAAACAATAGATGGAAAACAAAAATTCTATTAAAAGAAACGGTAATTTCAGGTTGTTAAACTGTTTTTGAATCGTTTCCTTGACACAAAACTTCACTTCAAGTTGCAAATTCTAAATTGTATGAACTCACCACAGTAGATTCCCTCCTGAGATTAGAGTAATCGTAAACTTTTCCTGTTGTTGGTGTCATCGGCTGGCGTAGTGGGTAGTCGGTATTGTTGCTAGGCTGATACATCACAGACTGGGACACAAATAAAATTTTACATCAAGAATTTAACTAGAGTTACTTCCCTCAACATAGAAAACTTGCTCAAAGAATATGAACACATAAGAATAATCGAAATCCTATATAATAATTGACAAAGTTTGTTTGGCTTTAACCTCAAGGGAAAACAACCAAAGAAATATCGAACACTTAACAAGCATGGAAGAGTTACGGGTAAGGAAAGCAAATGGAATACTTTTGAGATAAAAGATGTGTTTTTTCTTCTTTAAGAATGTCCTCTGACAGGACTCGATGCCCGTAGATTGTAAGTACTTAATGAACCACAGGCTAGAATATAGTACCATAGGCGGACTAATGCAATGACTTGCCGGTACCTTAGAATCGTTATCATCGATCTCCATGTAGACTGAGGACTTCCTTCTCATGTTGTACAGGGGATTCTGGGAGAAAATAAAATATCACTTGTTAGCTTTATATTCATTGGAAAATATAACATATACACACAAAATAAATATATAATGTAACTTTTACTTATTTCTACATCGTAGACTATAGGTCTACTACTTAATAATAAACATAAATATAGATTAAGAAAGTCTTGATATTATTATACACAAGCTTTATATACGTAATTTACTATGACAACATACAACACACTCATTTATAATATATCTCTCTCTCTGTCTCTCTCTCTCTGTCTCTATACATACATATTTATAAACACACACATATATATACATACATATATATATATATATATATATATATATATATATATATATATATATATATAAATGTGTAGCCGATATGTGTATGTGTGTGTATATCGACAAAATATAGAGCTACGTCTAAATTGTCTTCCTCAACGATAAAAATAAATAAAATACAATAAAACGAAAAGTTAATTGGGTGAGGGGTGTAAACAAAAAGTTACCCTTGTGAAAGTAGGTCCTCTCAAATCGGCTGGGACGGAGGAGCGACGTCTCTGGGCCAAAAGGTTGAAATTGGAATTCTGGGAAAGGTACACGGACGGACAGTGAAGGTATTGGGGTAAATAAGGTGAAAGGTCATTGTTCCCTCACAAGGTAAGTGTTAATTTAAATAAATCTATATTAGAGTGGGATGTTAGTCCAGCTGGTCACAACAGAATGTTAAAAAATATTTTGCTTTAAATTAATTTATATAATTTGAAATTTTTTTGTTATATGACAAGTTGTTTATGCTTTACAAAACAAATAATAGAGCAATAGGACAGGTACATATAGATTGTATAAAAGGCAACAATTTGTAATGACAAAACTAAAGAGTTCTTCACGTCTATATAAACCAAGATATAGATTATACATTTAAATGCTAACAGGTGTAAGTTCATATCTATATAAAGTAGCACTATAGACATAAATTATGATTACAAGCAGGGCCGGCGCTCACATCTATCATATATATAAAATAGCAGTATAGACATAAATTATGATTACAATGCCAAATGTGGACACAGGTACACACCAGAGTTGTTCTAGCCAGACCTGCATCACGTCTGACTAAAACCTGTCTTTTCTAGAACTATGTCGTGTACCCGTGTCTACATTTGGCATTGTAATCGTAATTTATGCCCATAGTGTTATTTTGCTTAAAAATCCTGCTTCCAACTTCTCGTAATGTTTTATCTCTAAAGCAGAGGCTTGCTTCTAAATTTCTTCTGATTCTTAAAGTATAAAAATATTGATAATGATTATTTAAAAATAGATGTTTTTATTGATAATATATCAATTTTCCTTAGTTTATCTTGAAATGAAACTTAAAATTTTAGAACTTTTATATTGATGTTACATTTTTTTTTACAATTCAAATTAATTTTTCTAAAAGACTTAATCTGTAAACTCGAGTCGATCAGATTTTGGATTCATACTCTGGTATCTTTAGATCAAACATATCCGTTTACTAGCTTTAAAAAAAAAACCAATGTAATTAATTTTAAGCTTTAATTTAAAAAAAAAACCAATTCCTCCACAAATTTGAGCATATGCGAACACATCATTCCCCAAACACGATATTCTATGTAAGTCGGTTGATATGTTTACTTTTGAAAATACTTTTCAGAAACATTATTTTTTTTACATAACATTACTGTATGATTTTAAACTATTTAGAAAATGATTAAGATTTTAATCAAAAGCAATATATATATATATATATATATATATATATATATATATATATCTATATATATATATATATATATATACTTGATTTTGATAATCACTAAACAAACCAGCTATACTTTTCACATTTGAGATGAAGGGCTAACGAGGAAAATTAATTTAGTAATATATAACAGAAAAAACGTAAGATGGTTAAAAAAATTTAAAAGTTGATTAGCAAATAATTGGATGAGTAAATCATTTTGAGAGTGAGCAGCAAAAACCCTGGGGTATTTTGTTAATTAAAACTGGGGTTTGGGTTCAAGATAAAAACAAATGGCACACCGCAGACGAGAGTGAACTTTGAACTTTACCTTCCGTAAGTTTGTTGCGTCGATCGAGTCACGTGATCGGTTTGGTCCTCGGTTATAATAATCAGGGCTCTGAAACACAAATGTAATGTTAAGTTATAATAATCAGGGCTCTGAAACACAAATGTAATGTTTAGTTATAATAATCAGGGTTCTGAAACACAAATATAATGTTAAGTTATAATAATCAGGGCTCTGAAACACAAATGTAATGTTGAGTTATAATAATCAGGGTTCTGAAACACAAATGTAATGTTAAGGCGATAGAATTTTTTCGCCCCCCCCCCCCGAAGAGATGCTTGGAAGAAACTCTGTGAGCATTGGAAGCAGTCCCTCATTCTGGAGGATCAGGGTTTTATTTCAGGTATTTTTTTTGGGGGGGGGGGTCGTATAAATTTTGGGTGGGATGATGACCACTTACAATATTCGGGAGATGTCAGAGTTGAACACTGGATTACGTATATTTTTTCTATATAAAATATTTTTTCTTTCATCCGGTTTGGGGATATGGGGGGGGGGGGGGGGTGGTGGCAGTGCCTACCAGGAGAGAAGCTTGAAAGAAATTCTGCAGGAGATACTCTTCTGCTCTCTAGCTTGGTCGCTGGATTATGTAGACCTTGGCTTTAAATTTTAATCTCCCCCCCTCCCCCACATACATTATACATGTCGATAATACTGTTATCTCTGGCCATACGGCTTAAAGTAGGTTTATCTAGGTATTGAGGAAGTCATTGTTTTGGGCTTGTGGTTTGAGATTTCTTAAAATTTGGCATGACTAGATATGGGTCAACGCGATTAGGGATGGTTAAACGTTTTGTGTCTGAAGTAGATTACACGTTAATATAGCTAGGAAGCGATTTGATATCGTACGTTATCAAGACACTAAAGTTTCTAAAAAAATTAACTCACATTTTCCACTAAAGTTACTAGAAAAAAATAAACTCACATTTTCCGCTAAAGTTACTAGAAAATATAAATTGACATTTTTCGCTAAAGTTACTAAAAATAAACTCACATTCTCCACGTCCTCGCTGATTCTCACGCGGCTCTGTCTCCTCATATCGAAGGCGTCGGATTGTTTTCTCGTATCCATGGCAACGATGGGCCCCCTGTAAAACAACAGTACAAAAAAAAACACCTCAATATTTTCCATTCAATACGACAAGAGCCCGTGTCGACTTGAGCGAAGGCAGACATTGAAAGCAATGCCATTAGCTGCATGAATGTGCTGTGGCGACCCAACACATAACGAGCAAAATGTTGATGTGAGTTGTTCGGTTATTGTCAGAAAAGTTGTCTAAACATTACGTAGCCAAACCATTGACCCATCCCTCTTTACCCTTATTTAAATTAATTAAAATTAAATGTTACAAATCAACATATTTAATATAAAATAAAACGGTTAAATAAAAAAAAATTATACATGACTATAGGCCTTTTTGTCTGACTGTGTGGCCTAGCGGTAGAGCGCTAGGCTGCTAACCCGAAAGTATCGTGTTCCAATCCGGGTTCAAGTCAGTAGGACGTCCTTGGATCGACCCAGCTCTGATGGGTACCTAATTAACGTAGGGAAACAAAGGCGGCTGGGCATAGTGACGACCACATTATCCCACTTGTATGCCGAGGTCATTCAAACAGATGAACTCTACTTCGTCTGTCCCATGTGTCTTAGGCACAAGGGGAAACGATGATGATAGGCCTTATTGTCTTGGTAAAGAAGTTTACACCTTTTATGAAAATAAAACCCAAAGCAGGCTAATATCAAGTTAGACAACTGCAGCTAGCCTTGTTTTCCAAAGACGAGAGTTATCTTACATGGCGTTCAATGAACCTCATATCAGATCATAAATTGTCGTGTAATCAAACACACACACAACACTACTGTTTAATCAAACACACACAACACTATCAAAGCGTTTTATCATTTTCTACACTATAACTCCCAGCACACACACAAACACACACATACACACAAACGTCACGTGATTAGCTCTTGCTACATCCTAGCTAGCACACTCAGTACCGGATTTACGGATAAGCTAAAAAGCTATAGCTTAGGACCCCCAAATTGTTTTCCAAAGGAGCAATACTCATATATACTCAAATATACTGCTTCATTATTTCTCTGAATGAAAACTATGTATAAGACAGAACATCTTCGATAACATAAAACATCTAGCATGGGTGGGGCCCCATATCTCAAATAGATCAAGTCCTTATAGAGCCTAAATCCAGTCCTAAGCACACACACTGGTAGCTAGTACAACTCAGTTTACACGGACTAATGTATTTAGGCATAGGTCAGGTGACATCACGGGTCCTGGGCCCCAAACAAGCTAATGGGGTTAAGGTCCTGCTAATTGGCATAGAAGAAACATCTTAGTGGGTTGTACAATAGCTTGCACAACTTTTCTACTTTTCTACAGTCTCAACTTCGATCCAGGTTTTCTGTCTAACCACCTATTTTGCATTTAACAGGTCTATCAGACATTTTAAATAATCTAACACAGAGACCTAACGTACATGTCCACCTTAACAACTAAAAGGTCCACCTTACACAGTGAGACCGCTGACAGGACCTTAGACCTTACCTGACCATAGGGAAGCGATAATCCGATCCATAGCTCTCCACGATGTCTCGTGGGTTTCTTGTGCTGGGCTGAATACTGGATGTGGATATGGTGTATGGATTCTGACGCATTTGGGCCTGTTCGGGGCCTGGACTTCTATAAATAGTTATTCACAGGTTATATATATATATATAAATATATAAATATATATATATATATATATATATATATATATATATATATATATATATATATATATATATATATATATATATATATAAACTGTATATATATATATAAACTGTATATATATATATATATATATATATATATATATATATATATATATAGATATATATATATATATATATATATATATATAGGCTATGAATATATAGGCTCTCTCTCTCTCTCTCTATGTGTATATATATGTATATATATATGTATATATATGTGTATATCAATAAACACACACACACACACACACACACACATATATATATATATATATAAATATATATATATATATATATATATATATATAACCTGTATATATATATATATATATATATATATATATATATATATATATATATATATATATATATATATATATATATATATATATATATATATATATATATAAATATACAGGTTTTATATATATATATATATATATATATATATATATATATATATATATATATATATATATATATATATATATATATATATATATATATATATATATATATATATATATATATATATATATATATATATATATATATATATATATATATATATATATATATATATATATATATAGGCTATGTATATATAGGCTCTCTCTCTATATATATATGTATATATATGTGTTTATATATGTGTATATCAATAAACACACACATATATATATATATATATATATCTAATATATAAAGCTCAGTTCTGTATGTAATGCATTTGTATATCGTTGGAATTGTACGAATTTAAAAGTTAGAAAATTATCGTGCGCATTTGTCTAAATTTATGAGCTAAAAAATTACTATTGAAAGTGTTGGGAAATAATTTTCATTTTTCAAATTATAGTAATAATTGTCGGCATGTTCATTAAACACAAGTTTTAAAAAAAATATCATCTTTTACAAAAATTCTAATTGTGTCTTTATTTAGTCCTATAGCACTTACTTCCCTTTGATAAATTAGGAAAAACACAATTACTTCCCTTTATAAAACCATTGCATTCCGTGAAAATAATTTACTTTTTAATTACTTTGTTTTGGTGTTGGGAAAAAAAATAATTACATAATTAGCGGGGATTGATCAAGTGCAAATGTTGTAGGTATTTTACGGATAAGCTTGGAGTATTAAAATTGTTTATTAAATTGAAACAGGCGCGTTCGTTTAAGTGAGTGCAAAAGACTGTGAATAAGTTGGGGTACTATAGTCGTTCATTAAGCTAAAACAGGTGATTCCGCCCCGGGCGTTTATGTTCGCGTTAGTGTTTTCTTTGTGTTTAGGTGGGTTTGCGTTAGTGGTTGCGTTTTAATTTGGTTCGTTTTTGTTCTTTCTTTTTTCGTTTTTGTTTGTGTTTTTTTTTGTTTGGGTTTGTATTTGTGTTTTTGGTTGGTTTTGCGTTTGGATTTGGTTTGTTTTCGTTTGCTTTTTTCGTTGATTTTTTTTTTTGTTGGTATTGGTGTTTGTGGTTGGGTTTGTTGTTAGGTTTTTGTTTTCGTTTGCTTTTTTGTTTGTTTTTTCTTTGTGTTTGTATTGGTGTTTGTGGGTGTGGTTGTGTTTGTTGTTAAGTTTTTGTTTTCGTTTGTATTTGTAATTGTGTTAGCGTTATGTTTGCGTTTTGTTGTTTTGGTTGGTTGTGGTTTGGGTGGGCAATGCCGGGTTTATGATGATTACTAAACACACAGGTAATGGTCTTTAACAGAAAGGTTTTTCACAGAAGCCAGAGCAGGGCCTGGCCGGGACGGCTAGTTTATATATATATATTTATATATATATATATATATATATATATATATATATATATATATATATATATATATATATATATATATATGCTTATAATATAACATGATAATCTGTACTTGTAAATAGCACTATCACAATATAAATATTTCAAAAGGGTGGTTAAACTTGTATACCACACATCACAGTACCTAAAGGTGACGTCATTGCTGACTTGACTCATCTTGTAGTTCTGATGGAGGCCATCTTCAGAGTCTTTGAAGGATTGCCTAAAAACAAAGACAGAAAATAGGAGGCTGTAAACACTAGAATCTAATTTTAAAAAAAATGTGAAAATTAGCCTCTTAATTAATTAAATTAAAACGTAATTAAAAAAAAATTATTATATTTACTCCGAAGCATCGTCCTTGACCGTATCATTCGGCCGAACCTTCGAACTCTTTTTGGCGCAGATGACGATGATGATGATGATGAAGATTAAGACCACGCCCCCTCCCGTGCCTCCAGCTATGGCGATGATGTTCTCCTTACTGAGCGCCAATTTCTCGGCTTTCTGCTCGCAGTTCTCGCCGCCATAGATGTAGTCGCCGTCAGTCGCACATCTAGATAGGAGTTATGGTTCTTTGTTGTTAACACTTCTCCATACAAGTACAAGGGCAAGATACTTTTAAAAAATGTGTACATAATTTGGTATCTTAATTAAAAAAAAATTGTTGAAGTGTCAAAATATATTTTTATTTATGGGGAATAAGTTAAAAAGAAAAAACATTCATTGCCAAAGTAAATTTCGTTGAAAAAAAAACAACTCTTCTATAGACATGACTGGGATGGGAATGACCGGAGAAAGCTTGAGTTGGGTGGGAGACCCGGATGTGTGGGATAGATCAGCGATAGGGATACGTGAGACTGGGATAGGGATATGTGAGACTGGGATAGGGATATGTGAGACTGGGATAGGGATATGTGAGTATGGAGACAGGGATAGGGATATATGAGACTGGGATAGGGATATGTGAGACTGGGATAGGGATATGTGAGACTGGGATAGGGATATGTGAGACTGGGATAGGGATATGTGAGACTGGGATAAGGATATGTGAGACTGGGATAGGGATATGTGAGACTGGGATAGAGATATGTGAGACTGGGATAGGGATATGTGAGACTGGGATAGGGATGTGTGAGACTGGGATAGGGATGTGTGAGACTGGGATAGGGATGTGTGAGACTGGGATAGGGATGTGTGAGACTGGGATAGGGATGTGTGAGACTGGGATAGGGATATGTGTGACTGGGATAGGGATATATGAGACTGGGATAGGGATATATGAGACTGGGATAGGGATATGTGTGACTGGGATAGGGATGTGTGAGTCTGGGATAGGGATGTGTGAGACTGGGATAGGGATGTGTGAGACTGGGATAGGGATGTGTGAGACTGGGATATGTGAGACTGGGATAGGGATATATGAGACTGGGATAGGGATATGTGTGACTGGGATAGGGATATGTGAGACTGGGATAGATATGTGAGACTGGGATAGGGATGTGTGAGACTGGGATAGGGATGTGTGAGACTGGGATAGGGATATGTGAATCACAGATTGAGATCTCTGGCTGAAATAGCAGAAGACACAACAATCAAGAAACAAACTAGAGAAGGTGGCTAGAGACCTAAGACTTGTAACTTTGATAAAACGATACTCTCTTACAGCATCTGAACTTAATTCATAAAAAATACGGAGCTAGTTTATGGTGTGACTTACTTGCAGACTGCCTCATAATTCTGATTGATTACACATACACCACCGTTCAGACACGTGTTCATGTCTAAGCACTTGTTGTTACACGTCACCTCTTTGCTAGAGTTTACACACTTCGAATCTAAGGGACAAACGCCTGGTATTTGACAGGGACCTGTTTGCCTGGCGAGGCTTAAGGCTGAGGAAATTTTTTCGGCTTTATCACAGAAGTATTATCCATAGTTAATAACTACATGTACTTTGACACATATTTGAATACATTTACATACATATTCATACGCATACATATATACACCCACTCGCACACCAACCCACACGTAAAACACATCCGCACATCCGCCCCACACATACACACATTTTATTTTTGATCTTCAAGATTATTAAATATTACAGCGTGGTCGGATGGTAGACTGGCAATGAGAAGAAAATCTCGTTGATGTTATATAATAAAGTTTAAGAAACAATAAAAAAAGTACGTCTTATAAAAAGTCATTATTTAGACGGAGATGATAGATGATTAGCGTTACCGTTAGTGAATTTTTGCTCAGAGTTACGAACATCCACATTAAGGTCTTTATCTAGATCACGACTTATGTTTTTTAACTGGTTTTCAAGAAGTGCCCAGTTATTGTCTTGGTACTTTACGTGCAGAGTGTACTCGACGCCAAGACTTCCGTACCTGAAACACGGACATCACAAAAATCAACATCTAATATGTTTGTGACATGAATCTGTAACAACACAAAACACAGCGATAGCAACGTTGCTACGCAATTCTTCATGAGGTAGAGATCCATCTTTTTTACAGCCCCATTATCTTACATAATAATTGGCTAAGTTAGTCTGTAACTTCAAAGGGAAATACCCACAGAAAGGGGTCATCCATTTATGACGTCCACAAAAATTTGGGACTTTAGAACCCCCACACGCGTCCAATTTCGACGACCCCCCCCCCTGGTTGTGGACATCCACGAACATTTAGTAGACCTCTCAATACATGCTGCAAAATTACTAATTCATATACATGTAATGTGTACATTAACTAATAATGTAATATAGACATTTGATATTTTCGGTAACATCTATTCCTAGGCCTAAATAATAATTGGGAGTAAAACTTTTCCAAGATGTCCGTAAGTCTACAGCGTGTTAACCTACCGTGTGAATGTGCTACGACTATCTAAAATTGTTCTTTATTGAAAGAATGATCGCGCATGGACGCTGTGTACCCTGCCTCTAGAACAGGGGTCTCCAAACTTTTCAGTCCGACGGCCGCATTAACTATCAAATTTCAGTTCGGGGGCCAGTTTCTTCCAGGCATGTCTTTGATTTTTCTGGGCAAAATTCCTCAACAAACGATTTTTCCGTGGACAAAAAGATCTCCGCGGGCCGGATGAGGGGACTTTGCGGGCCGCATCTGGCCCGCGGGCCGTAGTTTGGAGACCCCTGCTCTAGAATTTAAAGGCTTTTTTTTACCACTATTTGTTATAAAGAGTCAGAGGTTGCAGGCAGTCTTGCATCTTTTTTTTTAATTGAAGATGCTGTACGCCGAACTTTTTACTTTTTTTTTGTGGCTGTCTATCCATAATCGACTATATGGGTTCGGGGAAAAAATCGGTTAATCAACGTGACGTCATTATATTACTTTTTTACTCAACTTTACGCTGCATTTGTTTCCATAACAAACCGCCTCTCCCCTTCTTTGTGTTCGCGCTGACCGTTAGCCCTACACACCTGACCAAGCGAGAACATTATACACGCGCTGATATTTAAATATCTAATTGTAACATGGTTGTTTTGAGTTTTTTTTTTACTTGACAAAAATGACTAGATCTACATCATCTTAGGCTTTGACACAAAATAATGATGTAGGCCTACTATGATTTAGCTACAATTGTTTGAAGTGTTTAAAAATAAACTTGAAATACCATGAATTATTTTTTGTTAGGCGGGTGGTAAACAGCTACATTAAGGATACATTTACCACGAGAACTGCCGATTTAATATCTAATCTACATGTTATATGCATATTTAAATTTATATTTTAAGTTATCAAATTTAAGTATTTCGTGGTTTAATTCCGCATGTGGACGTCCACCTTGACCCGAACCACCCCCTCCCCCCCGTCCAGATAAGTCAATTTTTTTGGACTCCCCCCCCCCCCCCCCCATGGATGACCCGAAATGCAAAACACAGGCAAATACAGGAAAAACGTAAAGATTTTTCTTTTTTTTTTAAAATACCAGTTGCTCGACAGGCTTAGCTGCACGCATTTAATAAAATAATGTTTTAGCTATACTGCTGAGCTAGATATACTTGTATAATCTTTGGAAAAAGAACAAAAAACAAAACAACTTTTTCATACCAAAAAAATCTATAACATTATTTTAATCTTAAACAAAAAATAAAATTTTCTGTATTTTACTTTATATAAACACGCGAGTTGTTAATTTCTGTTTTTTTCAAAATTATATTTTAAGACATAATTTAGGTAATAATCTTTTACCAACTATGCATTCAATCCGTTCTACATATAGATACATGTCCTAAAGTTGGTAGAAAATAGTTTTTTTTATCTTTCTAAATCATCCCATACCCTTTCATTGAAAAAGCGAAACATTACAAAAGCTAATAAGAGCTGTATTATAAATTTGTAGAAAATAAAACTCACCAAAATCTGTCTATGGTGATTTCCTTGAGTCCACTTACATTCTGGTAAATTTGAGAGAGCTGGAATATGTTTAAAATATATTTTTAGGTTAAAAAAACGTATCCTATGACAGATTACAGGTATTTACTGAGTTCGTTTTGTTTGTTTGTTTGCTGTCTTTGGGGTCATCCATAAATGACGTCAGGCTTTTTTTGACGATTTTTATCTCCCCCCCCCTCCCCTCCGTCACACGTCGTCACAAAAAGCCAGACCCCCCCCTAAAATGACGTCACACCTCAGCCTACAACCCCCCCCTCAAAATCGCTGTTGAATTTTTCTTAAAACATCGATATTTTTCCAAAATCTTGTCTGAACTCTGCCAACTTAGAGTATTTGATGAATTCGTATTACAATTTATTAAAACCGTTTTCTAAAAATTGAAATAACGGCTAAAACTCGTTTTCTAACATTGCTTTTTTATAATGCAAAAAAGTGACGTCACACCATCTGAACCCCCCTCCCCTCATCACACACCGCCACAAAATTACGGACCCCCTCCCCCCTACGATTGTGACGTCATTTATGGACGAACCTTTTAGCTATAATATTAGTACATTGGTCTCTTAAGAAATATTTACAATATATTTTATCATTGTATCTAAAAAATGTTTTAAATGGTTTTATTTCAATGTCAAAGCTACCGATATACATGAGCATCAAAATCAACAAGAATTAACCTAATTATGTCCCTGACTAATGATAACACTAAAACCAACAAGTAAAATGTTCTCTTGTTACCTTCTGAATGTAGTCATTCGATACGCTCTTGTATACATCTGAATTCGTATCATTGAGCTCAACTTTGTAGGTCTCGTTTTTATATTCTATCTCAAGTTGTATTGGTACAGTCAGCAGGGCTAGGAGTTTTTGACCACATCAACGTAACAGCATTTCAAAAAATAAATGGATTTAAATTAGAACACGCACACACAAATACATACAAACAGCAGCAACAACAACAACAACTAATAATAATAATAATAATAATAATAATAATAATAATAATAATAATAATAATAATAATAATAATAATAATAATAATAATAATAATAATAATAATAATAATAATAATAATAATAATGATAATAATAATGATAATAATAATAATAATAATAATAACAATAATAATATTATTAATAACAATAATGATATTAATAACAATAACGGAGGAAAAAAATAACAATAATAATAATAATAATAATAATAATAATAATAATAATAATAATAATAATAATAATAATAATAATAATAATAATAATAATAATAATAATAATAATAATAATAATAATAATAATAATAATAATAATAATAATAATAATAATAATAATAATAATAATAATAATAGTAATAATAATAATAATAATAATAATAATAACAATAATAATATTATTAATAACAATAATAAATATTAATAACAATAACGGAGAAAAAAAAATAACAATAATAATAATAATAACAATAACAATAATAATAATAATAATAATAATAATAATAATAATAATAATAGTAATAATAATAATAATAATAATAATAATAATAATAATAATAATAATCATAATATAACATTTCGTTTAACATCTAAACAGTAAAGTTAACAATCTATGCGCGATCGTATTGTAATCGTAATGAGAAAAATATGCAATATATTAAAAAAAAATTCTGGGTGCATTCCATACATGTGAAATGACAGCCTCCCACTTTGGAAACCGCTGTCATATGTCGCATTACGATTTGATGTTAAAGTGTGCACTGCACCGCAACATTCTTCTCTTTCTCAATCGTGTCAGTTGAGATCACCAAACTAGTCGCACTATAATTTCAAACCTTTTTTACCCCATCCATCATAGTAAAGTATAAAGTCTCAACAGGGTTTGCTCCTGAAGGTCTATTGACTGCAACTTCAGCCTGCATTTGCTTCCTTAGCATTAGTTGAACAAATAACACCAGCAAGGCGCCATTTTTTTTCGGGGTTCCTCTCCCAGATCGCTTGCTAACTACTCTGACCCCCCAACCCCGAAATGGTTATAATTTGCGCTGATCAAAGTACCGTCAAAATATGCAAGTCTTAGCAATCAAAATGGACAGTGTTTCTTCCAAACTTTTTTCTCCGAGGGGGGGGGGGGGGCACTTGAAATTTTCGGGGGTGGGGAGGACTAAAATTTCCAGGGGGGGGGGGGGAGTGGGGCGGCGGCTAAAATTTCCGCTGGGGGAGTGGGGCGGACACTGTTAAAAAGTATATATTTTCTATATACATTCCATTTCGTTCGGGGGGGGGGGGGGGCGGTAGACTTTTTTCGGGGAGCCCCCCTCCCTCCCCGAAGAGATGCCTGGAAGACACTCTGAACACTGATTATTTTAATGCTGTAATGAAGTGATTTGACTCACCCAAGGAGATCCTAGTGACGCCGAGGGTGGTTTGTTCAGGGGGCGGCGCTGTCCTCCTGGTGGTAACTGTCGTGGTAGAGTTTTCTGTTGGGTCTGAGGTAGTATTAGTATCTGGGGTATCTGTAGGGGCTGGGGTATCTGTAGGGGCTGGGGTATCTGTAGGGGCTGGGGTATTATTAGGGGCTGGGGTAGTGTTAGAGTCTGGGGTAGCTTCAGGGCCTGGGGTAGTAGTAGTAGGGGTTGTGGGAGCTGTAGAATTTGTGGTAATGTCTGGGGAATCCGAAGCTGCACCACCTATGGCGAAACAGCTATTGGCGAGACACGCCAGGGCAACGAGTATACTCAGGTTAATCCCGGTGTTTTGCATGTTGACAGTAGCAGGTGTTTTAAATCGTTCACGCTACGTATAAAAGATGTGGGATCCTAGGAAAAAACGAAACGTGAAATCTGTAAGTTTAGAAAATATAGAATGTCCACCACCGCCCCTCCCTTACCGCTCCCAGTCTTATGGCCAGTGGCGTTGTTAGGGCAAGGGTGGCGAGATCGGCCGCCTCGGGCGCACACCAAATGGGGGGGGGGGCAAAAAAGGTAGGAAAAAAATAATAAAAAGCTCAATTTGAGCTGCAATATTGAAATAAATAAACACAGTGGAAGTTGAGAAAACAAGCAACTACAAGGCTTTACACACTGGTTTAACTATTTTCTGCCCTAATTGTAACAGTCAAAAATATCTTAATAATCAGCGACTATAACGTTTGAAGACATACTAATTTGCCGAAATATATAGAACCAACAGAAATAGAACCAGGCTTTTTATATTTAAAATTACTTAATAAACGTTTTTACTATCAATTAGTACATTGTATCAAAGAGGTGAACGTTTAATTTTTTGTTTCATAACAACCTTCTAATTCTGCAATTTTTACATAGTTACGGCCACTGGGAAAAGGTGCAAGTTCTAAACGCGGCACAACGCGAAGAATGTTAATGCTTTGTTTCTTTGTTTACCTAACGGATAAATTTCAAAACAGCGATGTACTAGTTTTGAGATAGTTCTAAAGACAAGACCGAAAGATGACCGAAATAGCTTGCACCTTCTACAAACCACACTCAAAAATTTTCTTCTTTTTTATTGGTTTCATTTACCTAAAGGGGGTTATGCGCAGAAAAAAAAATCACCAAAGCCCTGATTTTTTCATTATAATGTTTGTCCATTTTTGTATTAAGAGAATAATAACTTTAATCAGATTTTTTTTAAATGTTTTTTTTTACCCCATTAATTAAAAATTAATAATTTTTTCCCAATATCACACGCTCTCTACGGGAAGTAACATATCCGCCATCATATTGTATTTGGCATAATTGGAAAGCTGGATCTCTCATGTATTTGATAATCGTATTTTCCGTCATCTTGGAAACACCCAAAGCTTTAAAATGACTTTACAAGTTACACAGAAATGCTATTTTCGTGACCTACTTTTAGCTGTTTTTCTCATTTCATAGATTTTTTTAAACTCTAAAAAACCTACTTCTTTTTTTTACTTTCTCGTAGATCTATATACGAAGCATAGAGAACGTCTTGTAATAGTGCAAAAAAAAAAATCTAGATTTTTACAAATCTCGACGTTTTACACCTCACTGATACGGAAAAACATAATTTTGCAATCTTGTCCGTATGTCTGTGTGTCTGTCTCTCTGTGTGTGTCTGTCTGTCTGTGTGTAAACACGATAACTTGAGTACCGTTACAGCTAGGTTGATGAAATTTCATTTATAAGTATTATATCAAAATCGTAGATCCTGATCAACTTTTGAGCGATTTCCGATAACCGGAAGTGGTACTTTTTCTACTTTGAATTTTTCAAAAACCTATAACTTGAGTACTATTTCAGATAGATAAATGAAATTTCACATGTAAGTAAAAGATCTAATTCTCTACCTTCTGTCAAATTTTGAGTAATTTCTGTTGATCGGAAGTACTAATTTACGCATTTTCCGACTTCTCAAAAAACGCATGTAAATTAATAAAGTACTAATAATATTGCGCACTATTATGCACATCTTTATTTGACATTCGCTTAGTGCGCAATTCTTTTTTCTACTAGATTCTATTCTATTTTTAAAAGTTTAAGTAAACAAAAATCATGTCTATATTTCGAGTTGCCATCCCACGTACTGTTATAAAGACTTACATTAGAATATTCGAGAAAGTTTTGGGGAGATCACTCCCGGTTTATTTAAACTAATAATGCGATTCCCATCATATTTTCAGTATTTGTGATACGTGTAATAATAGAACTTTTGTCACGAGGGAATCATGTTGGCTTTCTTAGAAAAAAAATTATTATAACAAATATGCAAATTTTAAAACTTTCGCATACTAAAAAGATTTCAATTTTCGGGCCTTCATCACTATTTACTCATAAACGACCAAAGTCAAGGTCCCTACCTGTGTTGCAGTTAATTTAATTAATGAGTGAATAATAATCCGTTACACACTGATTGTTCGAGTAACTCCAAAAGTTTTAAAATACAGAGGCCGAGGATGACGTCCTAGTATGCCAAGGTACAAGTGTAGCACTACACAACAACCGATAACCAACACGGTCACTGATAAAAAAAAAACATTAACTATATGAAGAATTTTGTTGGTTCATTTAATTACTACACCATCACCAATTATTCGAAAAAAATTAATGGTACACAAATTCGCACCGGAGTGAGGAGTCTGTCATTATTGTTAATCCGAGATTAATGAGCTATAACACTAAGTACGTGGAAGACAATCTCAATGTTACTGTAAGATTTGATCACAGTGCAAAAATAAAGCTTGGTATTAAAAAGAAAATTGGTACTCTATATTTAGAAACAGGAAGATTAAAGTCACATGATCAAACATGTGACGGTAACATCGTGTTGCTTTTTCAGAATGAAATATGATCTTAAAAATTAATGAGGCAATACAAAAAAACTTTGATTAATTAAATAAAACAATAGATTTGTTATTTACTCCTAATTTTTAATTTGTAGTTTGACTATACAAATTACAAAACCCATTAAAATTTAAAAAACTTTTTAAAAATTTACGAGTGCTATCCCTTGTTGGTGAAGCTGCTGATAACGTTAAACAGGTCACCAGGTTTTGATGGGGGTTTGTTTTAATCAATGAATGGCGAGACAAAGGCTTGTATGAGAGGATCTTGTTAACAGGATGTGAACGATGATAGAACACCAACATAGCCAGGGTTTAGCTACATACCTAGATAGTGACCCATGGAGTCATTGGCAGAGTCCAGTAATGTCTTGGTTTAGTAACGGCCATTGTCCTATACATGCAAGCTTTAAAGTATGGCCAAAATCAATTAATAGGCATGGCCAATATCCAGTGAAATGTATGGCCAACGTCAAGCTAAAAGTATTGTCAAGGTCAAACTAAAGATATGGCCAATGTCCAGTAACAGGTATGGCCAAGGTCAAGCTAAAGGTATTGTCAAGGTCAAGGTCAAACAAAACATATAGCCAATGTTCAGTAACAAGTAAGGCCTAGGTCAAGCTAAATGTGTTGCCAATGTCTAGTAACAAGCATGCCCAATGGCTAATGATATGGCCAATGTCCAGTAGCAGGTATGGCCAAATTCAAGCTAAAGGTATTGTCAAGATCAAGCTAAAGGTATTGTCAAGGTCAAGCTAAAGATATGACCAAGGTCAAGCTAAAGGTGTGGCCAGCTGTAGCATGACCCATGTCTAGACCACACATATATAAAACCAATCACTGCTATGACTGCTATGACAATAACGACGTTGACAGACAACCGCGACTATCTGGAAGTGAATGAAATAAAACTCACAAGATGCCAGGGAAAAAATGTAATGGGAAAACAAAGAACATAAAACAGAAGGCAGAAATGTATGCACCGCATTACAGAGGCGTAGCGACCCTACCCGGCGCCCGGGGACAAACTTTCGATTTGCACCCCCGCTTTGAAATTTTCATTTGCACCCCCCCCCCCCAAACTTTCGATTTGCAACCCCCCTCGAACTTTTTCATTTGCACCCCCCCCCCCTCGAACTTTTCATTTACACCCCCCTCAAACTTTCAATTTTGCGCCCCCCCCTAAGGTCGGCGCCCGGGGACATATGTCCCCCCCCGCCCACCCCCCTCGCTACGCCTCTGCCGCATTACAGTTAGATAATCTCCGGCAAAGGTTAATGTAGAAAACAAACATCAACTTACAATAGAAGGTAAAAATTTATCCACTTTATCACAGTTTGTTGATCATCTCAGCCTGTGGTTAATGTGCAAAAACAAACTGTAACTTAGACACTTTTTAGTAATTAAAATATGTATCTGATTTATTATTTTTTAAAGAATGAATTAGATCCTAAATGAATGCTATGATGTGTTAGATAAAGAAAACTAAATTTCACGTTGAATTCAGGGTGTTTGTTGCCTGGTATTAACATAAGTCCGACATACGGTTCTGTTTTTTTTTCTGTTGCTTCGGGAGTCAATGAATGATGCACGAAGCGAAGTGAAATCCTTAGGGCGTGGACTGGATATAGTTCAAGGAATACAAAGCAATACGCTGGGTAACAACTTCGTTTGCGGAAACCGCGGAAAGCAAATCGGATTTTGTTATACTAACACCAAGAAGTTCCAAACCTGTATGATACCGACGATTCTTTGCCTAGATAGGTTATTTGTTTCCAGCTAATGAGCCTCATCTGCCTAGAGGTTCGAACTCGGGACTTTACGTGTTGGCAACAATGCGCACTCGAACCTGACTATCCATGGGGCAAGGGAAGTAGAGTTCACCTGTTTCTGTGACCTTGGCATGAGAAGGGATAGTGTGGTCAGTTCTATGCCCTTTTCTTTACTTTCCTGACGAGGGTCGGGTAACCATCGGAGCTGGGTGGACTCAGGGGCGTCATACGGACTCGTGGGAATGGAGACTTTAGACTCAGCAGTTCAGTGCCGTACCATCGGCCCTCACCGCCTCATGTCTATTATAGCAATGACAATGCCCTAAATTTTTTTTAATCTGATGGGCAACCATAACAATTTCAAACATGGGTCCCACGCAAAAATAACCTCGCACAAAAAAAAAAGAACTTTAACAAACATTGTCATGTACGAATTTGATAGTAAAGTCGTGACTACTTCAGATAACAAAAGATTTCAGCAGGCTCAGACGTATTTGGTTTTCAAGATAGGTGTCGCCACGGTGTGTTGAAATGTGACACAAGATTATCATGGGATGGTATAGGGCAAGAGGCGAGCGTTATCTCCCTTTGATAATAACACGGCTGCCTGTTGTGTAGACATGCGCACAAGCAACAGACTGTATTGAGTACCAACAATACATTACAATACAGTAGTCTACGGTGTTTATCGTCAACAATAAAGAACATATTAAAAAAAAATCTGAAGAATTATCGAAGCGCATCTTCCATAGTAAGGGGGGAGGGGAGGGGAAGGGGGCACTGGTTAAAGTATATATTTTCTATACAGAAAAGGGAAACGGCGGTGGATTGCTGAAGACTTTAGCGAGCTGTGTGGATTCTTATTAACAATTAATCTGTGCGCTGTAGCATTAATAATTAAAAGTTATTTTCTGACAATGTTTCAAACTTGTGTCTATGACACAACGTTATGTTTTTTTTTTTTTGGGGGGTGGTATAACATGTCAAATTTAATATGTGCGCGATCTCTTATCTGTATAAAACACCACACTTCACTGAGATAAGAAGAGCATCTGACAGACACGTTGGTGAAGAGTTGTCTGTATGTTAATGATAACCTCCCTTGCCGTCTGCAGCATAGGTGGCCATTTTCTTTGTTTATAGTTTATCGCAACAAGACGCGAACTAAAACAGGGGCGTAGCCTTAAATAATAATAAATATATTTTAGCCTACAGACAAGAAATTTCTTAAATGTTTCTCAGACAATGAGTTTTTTTAATGAGGTTAAATAATAATAAACAAAATACCACTTCAAAATCGAGGGCAGCGGATCATTCACCCCTCTCCTCCATTCTTCACAAAACGCATCTGTTTCATTACTGGACCTAGAATCTAGATTCTAGATCTAGGTCTATTTATTTATTGATGAGCTGACATCTAGATCTAGGAAGTTTAGCCCAGTGGCCGTCCATAAATGGCGTGTCGAACCTTTGTGACGATATGTGACGGGGGGGGGGGGGGGGGGCGACAGAAATCGTGACGACCGAATTTTGAAACCGAATTGTAGCCGTTATAATATAATATTAAGTATTAAAGACCTACCCAAAGTTAATCGAGCTCATTTCGTTTACTATTGTGAAATTAAATTTGGTGATTTTGCAATGGAAATCCAATCACAACGCCTCATCAGTAAGATAAGGGCCAAATGTTGCCATTTTATCAAGCCCCTCTCTCAACACAGCAGTTGGACGGGAAGAAATTACTGGTTAAAAAATAACAATTTGCTGTTTAAAGGGGGTGGGCTAAGAAGGTGTGACTTAATTTTAGGGGGGGGGGAGGTCTGTTTTTTTGTAATGGTTGGGAAGGAAAAAGGTAAAAATCGTTTTAAAAAGCTTGAGGTTGTTTACGGAAGCCCCTATAGGGATCGTGAACACACAAAGGGGCATGGGGGTTGTTTGATTATTATGTAGATGTTCACAATGTTAAATGCACTGCCTCTGAATTCCTTTATTTTTATATCATATCCTCAAAGCAAAATTTTAATCTGAATTAGAACTCATGACCCACTCGATCTTTTCCCAAGATGCTTGAGGCAGATGAAGTAGAGTATATCTGTTTCCTCCAAATAGCACTATGCCCATATGCCTTAGTTCCCTTAATGTGAGTCAGGTACCCATCAGTGCTGAATGGACAAGCCCGGAATCCAAACTCAAGACTTTCAGGCTAGAAGTCGTAAGGTCTACCATCCGACCATGCTGTGCCTTTGCCTTTATGTCCCACTTATTAAGTGTAGTTCCTTTATTACTTTGGATAAACTTCCTCAATTTCCATCAGGGTATTTTCTGTTCATTAAAATTTTTAACAGTAAATAAAAAAACACCAACAACACTATTATCAAACAAACAAAAAAAAAACAACTTAAAAGAACCAATAAAAAATCAGTAAATAATGCAATAGTTGTATTTCAGTTAACATTGATGATCACAAGCAATAATATTCTTAAACAAAAAATTCCAACGAAACAAAAAATAAATGAAACAAACATAATTTGAGTGGGCCAATTAGCAGCCCACAAGATCACACTGTGGCTGTGGACCACTCACTGGCAACGCACCAATTTGTGTATACAGGTGCACTAATTAATTGGATTAAATTAAAAAAGTAGATGATTCTAATAAACTAATTCAGTAAGCAACGAAAGAAAAAAATAATAATCATGTGTGCATGTACACTATGTTCATTACCTAATAAACAAGGTTGAAGTATAAAAACAAAATAAAACTGGTATGATTACAATACAGCTGAATAAATGAATGAACTGAAAACTATACAAAATGTGGATCAAATTTTGTTATGGATCAAAAGAAAAAAACAACAACACAGGATTAAGCCATGTATGGTTATAATTTAACATCAACAATGGTGATTTTATTCTTCTTGTAGCAATTAAATTAGAGGGTAACACAAAAAATTAAGATATAATCTTTTACAGTGCACAACTATGACTGTTCTGTTTAAGAAATAATTTTTAATGTTTAAAATACTTTATTTTATTATAACTGCAAATTTTGATTCTTTTCCTACATAATTTTAGCCTGAAAAAGAATGACCATGAATGAAAAATATTAACTTCCTCTTGAACCAAAGCAACAAAACAAAAA